ATATATAATTTATATATAACTTATATATAATTTTAATATATAATTTATATATAACTTATATATAACATATTTTATATATATATATATGAAAAATCACAGAGTATTTGGGATGGTGCCTGTGGCTCAAAGGAGTGGGGTGCCGGCCCCATATGCTGGAGGTGATGGCTTCAAACCCAGCCCCGGCCAAAAACTGCAAAAAAAAAAAAAAACTAATAAACTAGGATAGCCAGCAGCAGCTAAGAAATCATTGTGCCTAGCTGGGCACAGTGGCATGCACCTATAGTCTCAGCTACCTGGGAGGCTGAGGCAGGATTGCTTGAGTCTGGGAGTTTGAGGCCAGCCTGCCCAACATAGCGAAATCCTGACTCTTAAAATACCATTGCCTCATTTCATCTTTGGCTTCAACTGTAGCCACAGACTAGATCTGCACTCTGACCTCATCTAGGCACCTTATAAAGTACGACATTAAGTGAGAACAAGTGAGTCCCCCAGGCCTGGAACTCAACAAACTCAACCAACTGACTTAGTCATCATTCTTCATAAAAGAGTAGTTGGAGGATCATGGGAGCCTGGGCCTAGCTCTTGTTTTGATATGAAAGTTGAGAGAAAGCCAGCCACCTAAGTTGTACGTTACCTTTTTACTAAAAGGAGCTGCCCCTTCCTAGTAAGTCTTATTAGTCTTTTATTTAGTAGAACATAGTTGGTTTTGGTGAGTCAAGTACTCATGCACTTTCAGAAATCACTATCTGTAGTCACTGTGCTTTCATCCTCATTCAAGTTCACTTTGGTATTAAAAGACTTAATAGGTTCCCACAATTTAGTGTGGAATAGATCTTTTTGAAAGTGTGAAAAAAAATGTATTTGGGCTAGAGAAAAATTTTATGAAGACCTCATTGGCAATTGCAGCATCAACAATAAATAGGCTTAAAAGCTTCTACACAGCTAAGGACACAAAGCAAACAGGCAACCTTTAGAATGGGAGAAGATAGTCACATGTTAAGGATCTGAGAAAGGGCTAATAACCAGGATCTATTTTACGGTGGTTATGGAGACAGCCACATA